GGTGTGTGACAGTGAAGCAGGGGCAGCGAGACTGATGGTTTGTTTGCCTTGTCTCGTCTCCGCTCTCCTTCCAGAACCGCTCTCGGCGCCCAAGATGTATACATTGAGCGCACACGGAGCGGTGGGGACGTACACCACCTGGACCGCCTGTGCTGAGCCGCACAGAAACACACAGTGGGCCTGCCTCTCATTTTAGTTTGATTGCAGCAGTTTTTCAGCCGAGCAGATGGGAGACTTTTTTTGGGGGGGAAGATTTTAGCAGAGTGAACAGTATGACGCCATTTTATCACTGTTGTTTTTTTTTTAGCATACAATATCTATATTTTTTGTATCATACGCTCGGAAAACAGACCTGTGTCGATACCTCAGCTGTCGAAGGGGGAAGTGATATTGCTTCGAACACTTCATCTCGCCCTCATAACACACCAGCTAGACCACTTACAAGTAAGGTAACAGAGCCACCATATGCTGCTGGAAAGCAGCATGCATTCCCACGACTCAGTGAGCCGCACTCCATTATACCTGCACCGCTGTGACAACAGACAATAAAGAAACACAAGGAGAAGTGTGTCTGCGCTGTATCGGTAAGCACTGCAATACGAGGCCGTTTTCCACCAGGTTTATTGTCCCCACCGTGATTTATTTACCAGGACGGAGTGACACGGTGTTGAACGCTATGGGACTAAATCAATCTTTACTATTCTGGGATGCAAGAGTCTGATCACCGGATCATAGGAATAGAGTCGTGAGCACATGAAAACGACATATATGTTCACACGGGTGTTTGATGGTGTGACAGATGCGGCTTCTTAGGCTGTCAGTTTGCACACAAACTAGTGAATTTACAGCCTCGGCTGTGAATCCTCAAAGAATCAATTTCTCAGTTTCAGCAGAGCCCAGGGAGCCTTTCCTGGGCTGTAAAGCATTCAGAGGCGATTATTCTCATCGCATCTCATCCCTCCTTATTTTTTCTTTTTTTACTGATCGCCTGTAAATCCCACGCCAGGGACATCTACGGACAGGAAGGCTTTGCTCAGTCTTGACTTGCTTGCTCCTTTTTTTTTTTTCTCAGAGGTTTGACGAGCTTCTCAGAGGAATGATATTTGTCATCAAAAATCCCCGTCTGTTCTGGAGGTGAATCCAGTGAGCGAGAGCGGATGAATTGAGTTGGAAGGATGGTGGGAGGGAAAGGACAAGGTTCTACACCACTGAAAGAGGCTGATTTCTGGATGTGTGTGTGTTTATCAGGGCTCGTTGGAGCTCAGCTGCTCCTGATTAGTGGTGGAAATGGTTCTTATATGATGGAGAGGAAAGCAAAAGATAATAGAAAGAGAGGACGGCGAGGTTGTGTGGAGGTGTCGGAGAGAAAAGGATAGACGGAGCAGAGAACGAGAGGAGAGAGAGGGAGTGGAGGCTGGAAGTGATAGCTGCCTCCTGTCTGGTCTCTTCCAACAGCAAAGGTGAACCAGGCCGCTGAAAAATGAAACAACAAACGGAGCAGCCAGTAATGAGAGATTCTATCCGGTGTCATTCCAGCCAAACCTGTAGAGAGATGGTGGTGGTGGTGGTGGTGGGGGATATTGGGTGTACAAACAGGAGCGTGTTCTGTTGCTCTTAAGGATATGCCTCGTAATAATTTGTCAGTATCGCTCTCTGTCTGTCACTGAGGAATCCATCCGGGCCTGTTTGGCAGGCTGAGGTGAGCTGGTGGAAATAGAGAGGAGGGTCATTTGCTTGATGTATGTTTATAGTAAATTCCTGTCCCGCCAGCACTGGGATCCGTCATTGTTTACGCTGTGGGAGGATGGATGTGGGGAGAGGGCACGAGGGGGTCTGATGGTGTGAGGTGAAGCAAAGGTAGCAAGACACAACAGCCAAACGGACGTCTGCCTCTGCTGACCGCCGCGAGGTCACGACCCCCCGCTTGGGGAGACTGCACAGGTTTATGGCCGTCTTTCATCATCCCGTTATCTTTCTCTAATGCCTTTTTGTCTTCTTTGTTCTTTTCTTTGTTTGTGAAGCCGACAGTCGTAGATCCTTTGCTAAGACTGAAAATCTAATAAAAATAAATTGCCTCCCCTACAAATTAGGCCTTGTATTCCTGTGCACTGATCCGTAACTGGGTTTGCTAAGTCATAAGACTTCTGATTGCACCCCCCCTAAAAAAAATTGGATTAATATAAACAAAACTCAGTTGAACCCAAATATACAATCAGTTCTTTCTAGAGCAGGGGTTCTCTACTGGTCTCACCCTGGTATTTGTGAGTATTTGGAGATCAAAATTGATATCCCGATTCCAGCACAGCGAACGAATAGTTGGCGTTTCGGCTCCAGCCCTAGTATGAAAATCCACATTTTAAATACTCCGGGTCATGTTTGCGCTTTGCCATCTTGCATCCCAACATTAACACAAACTTAAAATGAACAAACTGTGGTTACCGTGCCTGTCAAAATAAAAGTTTTTTCAAAATAGAAAGAGTCCAACCTGAGACACACATTATATATTATTTAATTTTGACCAGCTGTCCGTGACCCACCCAGAACAGGTCCACGATCCACTTTTGGGTTGCGACCCACCAGTTGAAAACCCCTGTTCTAGAGCATTATCAGTAGGCTGATATCGTCATATAATATTGTCGTGCAATAGATATGTCAGCATTATCATGCAGGTAGTCCAATATACATTTTTCTTTTTTGTACAGGTCGCAATGCTGGAAATGATGCTTGGGAAGATAATTAAATAAACATTATCATTACACAGTTTGTCCAGCAGAGCAGCTTCGATTCAACTCTTTACGGTTCACTCAGCACTGTCTGCAGCACATGTAGCAGAGAACATGCTGAGCAGATGGTGGTGCGGAGTCTAGTGGTGTCAAGGATGATGTTTTTTTGTTAGAAAGTTAATAAAACAAAAAAAAAAAAATGTATGTAAATGGTATTGGCTGATATATTAATATCTGCAGTTCCTAATTGATAATCATAGATGAAATTATGACTGTAATATATATAAAAGCTGTAACAGCAGAGGGTTATTAGCCAACTGTTCAAAAATGTCAGATGCAGCAGAACATTGTTTCACATGCTCTATTATTTTCTAAATGAATGTCTTTATTCAAATGAAACCAGGACTGCTTGAAGACATTTAAGAGGAAGGTTTCCTGGACCCACCACACCGAGTGAGGCCTGGTCAGGTGTGGGCTGAGAATCGGATTCTTGGTCTAGACTGATCAATAGATCTTACAATAAGCTCAGCGCTTCCTCTGGCTGACCCTTCCACCCACCTTTATCCTCTCCTTGACTACTTCTGAAGTATTTACTCAACAAACACTTAAGATCCTACCGGAGCGATGCTCAGGTCAGCTTCGAGCGCTGCTGGTGTTTACAGAGGAACTCAATATCTCAACCTACCTGCTATTCTTGTTTCTTTGTGTCTCAGGCCAGTGTCAAGAATTTCCTTTCTTTTCATTTCTTCCTTTTAATAAGAAATCAATTTAAAACGAGGAGCTGATGCTTGGGAATCCAACTTTGCTGCTTTGCCAAAGTGCCTTTGAGGCTGTGTGGCACATTTTCACTCTGAGAGACAACACTGTAAACGGAAATCAAAGAGCTGAGCAGAACTACCAGCTGTGACTCACACACAACCGGGTAGAAAAGCGAAGGGGAGAAAACAGCAGAGATGAGGCCGGTGCAGAAGTCATCCCTTCCTCTCAGGGAAGTCCTGACTTCTTAATCAGCAGGACTCTGAGCCCTGACTCAGCCCGGCTACTGGAACTTTGCAACTCTTTTCCCATCTCTTGTCCTCTGGTGCTTTTTTTTTTCTCGCCCGTCTTTTCTCACTTGTCATTTCTCCGGCCTGCCACAACTGCGCTGTCCTTTTTGATAAAGAGACAGAAGAACACTCACCGGCCTTTTGAAACTCCTCCAGCATCCCTCCCTTACTCCACTGCTCCCCTCTCCCCATCTCTCCATCTGTCCCACATCCCTTCATCCCCTGTCAGCGCTCCCTCGTAGTGATGAAGCTCATTAGCGGGCTGTCTCTGTCATATAGCATGCAGGGGGTGGAGGGGTGGTGGGGTGCTCCCTCCTGTGTTTATATTTAGATACTGGGATACTGCAGGTATGATGTGGTGATTTTTAATGAGCGGAGCAGAGCCTGGATCCTGTCAGTCACACACAGAGAGCAGCAGAGAGGCAGAGCAATAGCCACCCAGTTTAGAGCTAATGCAGTCATTAGTTGTGTATGTCTTTTGCTGTCTGACTCATAAACTCCCAACTCCTTTCTCATAATTGAATCAGACAGATTGGCTGTTTTTTTTCTCCTAGTAACACCTGTCATAGTGTGTACATCTTTTGCATGAGTCATCCTTCGGGATGCAGTGTGCGACTGTGTTCACAGAACCATTTTCCTAAAATGTTATTGGGCACCACAAAAGGCTGATGTGTGTGCGTGCTTTTGTTTACTGACGCTGGTGTAATGCCAGAAATAGCAATCTCAGTCTTAATAGCTTTTTAAAAAAAGGATTAAAGTAATTTTCCTTGTGTCTTCTGCTAAGGACGAATCTTCTTACAGTTTATCAGCCAAATGACTAATTTCTTTCATGAAATAAATGCCAGATTAATCAATAATGAGAACAATTGTTTCTGTAGATCTAATACAGTTAATATTGTTTAAAAGATGATTTGTCTCCTGGTTGTGTTTATCCCAGAGTGTAATCTCCAAAGAGAATTATAAATGAATGTATTACTTGATCTTATCATAGCCAAATAATGTCTGACAGATGTTTTTAAATGACTCTGCACTAAGTGATGAGACAGAAATGCATCATCATTTTCCCGTCTCTCTCCTGAGAACTCCAAGCCTTAACCAGCTCCTAACTCACAAACGATGACTTCCTGCGTTCCGTGCGAGCGCCATCTCATTGGAAAGACGTTGGTCTTTAATAACTTTTTAAACTCAGCCAAAGTGACAGACTAATTGTGTCGTCTCTCCTCTCCAACAGAGCATAGTGGCCAAATACGGCTCTCAGTTTCGGGGAAACTCGCAGCACGATGCCCTCGAGTTCCTCCTCTGGCTTTTGGACAGAGTTCATGAAGATGCTAATTCCACAACTGACAACAACAGCAAGACCAAAGCTAACGCCAAGGTGAGTCCGCTGGTGTTTATTGCAGCTGTTTCCTTCGCAATGATAAATGTGCTCTTTGTTTAGGCTAATAGATGCATCAAATACACCCGTGTGTCAGTATCACTTACGTAACTGCTAGAAACAACTTTGTCACAATTTTTTACTAAGTTTTCCAGATTTTTCTTGGCGGCTTGACAGGCTTTAATTAATTCATGAGTTTACCAGATGGAGCAGATAAATAAATGATAGTGTTTAATGTAGATGAGTTTGTCCATTTTGCTTAATAGTGGGATAAGAAACTGTGAGTAACAACCCAACTTAACCCTCTGAGGTCTTGGCCACTGTTTTCATTTTGTTGGATCTCTTACTGTTTAAAGAAATGTATAAATTCAGTAATGGAAGATACAAGCGGGTCACGTTTTGCCAGCACAGTCACGGCTGTTTGAATATGTCAGTAGCTGTAATGCCATATGATATCAGAAATACTTAAAAAAAATAAATAATTTATTAGATTTTTCAAAGCAAAACCAAGTTCTCCAGTAAGAAAAAAGTATAAAATGAGTCACAACTGGAGAGACTCTTGAATGTCTAAAGTCAATAGTTTTACTCCAACATCAGCCACGAGCACGATAATGATCATTTTAGTTACAAACCAATGTTCTGCTTGGTTCCTGCCATTTATGTGGATGTTACTTTGGCACATCCCGACTGAAACTGTTCCACATTAAGCACACTCGGCATCAGAACAGCACTACTTACTGGAGGAACACGACCAAGAGCTCTAGATGTTAACCCAGCCTCCAGCCTCCCCAGCTGACATTCTGATTGAGCATCTACTGGATGTGTAAGAACAAGCCTGATCCAAAGATGATACACGACCATGTCCCAATGGTCCAGAGCTGTTTTGTCAACATGAGGGAGACCTACATGATATTTGGCAGACGGTTTTGATGCTGTGGCCGATTGGTTTGTGGTGGTATTGGCTTTTAGATGATCGCTGCAGCTTTCTAAACATCAAGTGTTCTCATCATTATTTTGGTATTTGGAGATGACTCGCTCCTTTCCTGTTGACAAGGGCCAGTTTCCTGCTGAAGTTGTTTTGCCATAGGCCCCATATGCAATGAAAAATCTTGCAGTTTCAATCTGTGCAAATGGAGAGTCCCTCAGCTGTCCAGATGCCCCATCTCCCCCAACCTGTTTGATTTTCTTTGAAATACTTGACGCTGGCTGTTATGAGCTGTGATCAGCTTTTGTCAGTATGAATTTGGGCAGACACCCAAAGGGGCGCCTTGGTTAAAGTTTCCCAGCTCGTCTCACGTCAGGCTTCTATCCTGTTTTTCACTGCAGAAATGAATTCGCAAGCAGCAGAAAGGAAAATTTGATGCTCCACGTCTAACTGCACCTGGCACTTTGAGGTTGCACAAATTTGCTTTCAACAGTGGCATTATGATCCAATGTCAGGTGCTGCAGAGTCGTGCTGCATTTAAAACACTATTCAGTAAAGGATGCAGTTCTATGATGTACTTCAGAATTAAGACAGCCTTGTTTGTGACGCTCACTACAGCTGATCCTCCCGGTGGTCCACTCTGTAGGCAAGTGATAGCGTTCATTTCAGTCACAAACATCCCTTCATACATTCTCACGAGTACAGTATTTCCAGTGAGTGAGTTTGTTTCTCCATCGCTGGCCCCCCAGAACTCCCAGAACTGGATGAATCTGCAAAGAGCCGCAGCGCTCCGAGTGCCGTTCTTGCACCTGCAGCTGAGCTGAAACCTGCTCGGTCTGAAGTGACCCTTTGTGCGCGCCGACTCTTCCTGTGGCGTGTAAAAGGAGAATCTGTTGAAACGGCAGACATCCTTCTCTCTTTGTGTCTTTGTCTCCGTCTCTGATGTACGATGCTCACCTCGCAACCTTGCGCTTGGATGGTAGCCAGGATTAGACGTGATGTGTTGAGAGGAAATGAAGGGCAGACACATCACGACTGAGCTGATGACTTTTTTTTTTCCCTCTCCTTTCATCGCGAGTCTGATGCTAATGCTCACCGAGAACCAGAAGCCAATAACATTTGTCATTGGTGAATGCATTTGTTGGATTGGATCGGAGTGCATTTTACTGATTTCTCTGTCTGTGTGTGTGTGTCTCGCCTCTTCCTCTTGTTTCAAACAGATGGAAACAAACGCATATTAATCAAAGCGCACTACGGGGCAGTTCCCATGTTGTTTCATTTCAATGAGTTCCTTCCTGCCACAAGGTGTGGCACAATAAAACCTCTGGTGCTCCTTTTTCATTTAGATTTATTTCGAAATATTCTTGACAGGTGCAGAACTTTACCTGATGATGTGATGCTCATGACTCTATAGCTTACCTATCTAAATGAATTGCTCAACTCCAGTGGAATAGATGCTCCCCACTACTTCAACGCATTTAATTTCTCGGGCCTCTTCATTAGCTGATTATGTGAACGTATGCGTGCGCAACAAACACCGAGTACGAAGACCTGCTGTGATCGGCACCCACTGTGACAAATGTTTAATTACATTTGCTAAGTGTCATCCTGCTTCTCCCCAGTCGGTTTTGGAGTTTGCCTGCAGCGCCGTTGGTTCGTTGTGGGCCTCGCTGCGCCGCCAGCCGAGAAACCTCCCGTCCCGTTAGTAAATGAATATACTGTTATTACCTTAACTGTCTCTTCACTGCCACCCGATGCCCAGCTCCCCCACTCTGACAGCAGCACTAATAGAGGCACCCTTTATGCAACGTAAACAGCTTACGGCTGTGACTCTCATTAGGCTGCCAGTGAATCACGGTATCATAAAGCCGGCTTTCCTCCGCGGCTGCTATGAGGCAGAGATGGAGGGGGGGGAATAAAAAAAATTAAAAAATCGCTGGCTTTTTCACACGAGGAGGGAACATGTCAGATGTTTTTTTGCAATGAAATGCTCTTCCCGGTTCCAGCAAATTGATTTCATTCATGTAACGCAGCGTGCTCATGCTTATATTGCTGTAATATGGAAGCCACACATGCTCCTCTGTGGGTTTAGAACAGGGGTCTCCAATCCTGGTCCTGTCACAGTCCTGCATGTTTTAGATGTTTCCTTCTTCCAACACACCTGATTCAAATGATCAGGATCGTCATCAGACTTCTGCAGAGCTTGATGATGAGCTGATCATTTGAATCAGGTGTGTTGGAAGAGGGAAACATCTAAAACATGCAGGATTGTGACTCTCGAGGACCAGGATTGGACACCCCTGGTTTAAAATATCTGATGACCTCATCTGTGTGCAAAGAAAAAAACGATTAGGAAAACAAAACAGAGGCATAAATTAGCTCGTGTGTTTGATTCTTCCATGTCAGAGATGTCTTGTAAACAATCCACATCACACTTGACTCGAAGCTGCAGCTAATCTGTCCTCATCTATGACTTTGTAATTAGTTTAGACCTTAAACGTTTAGTTTAATTACAACAAAACTGAACAATTCTCTGACACTCATTTCCCCGCAGTTCACGCTCCATTAATAAACCCTAGAATAACATTAAATAATCCCCAAATAAAAGCTAAATGTCAGTCTAACCTCTCCTTTCAGACACATCCTCTGTCTGGTATTTTCATTTATTCAAATATTTCGAGTTCCATGGCCGCTCACTCTTACAGTTTTTTTTTTTTTTTTTAACAAAAAGGCACAAAAAAAGTGCCTTTTTAGTGCCTTTGAAACATAATTTGTCAGATGATAATAGAAGTCCTTTGGCAGTGCAGAAGGACAGGCAGAAAATAAGATGGAGTGGTGGCTGAGTTTAGCAGAGGGAGAGAGAGAGAGGAGCGGGAAAGTGACTTTGATTTGCTTTGTCTGGTTACAGCCGGGGATGTAGGACGATACAGGTCATGATGAGCTGACAGAAACCTAACGGTGTCAACAACGTCTGTGCCGCACACATTCAGCCAACGGCACCGTGGCCTGCTGGTCACATTCACCCTTCTCAGACTTTTGATTGGAGCTGCTACTTATGATTATTTTCTCCATTAATTTATCACTTTATTTATTTTTTAAAATCTATAAAATGTGAGGAAATGGCACTAAAAGCTGCCAACATGTACCTAAATCCCTAAGATGCCGTCTTTCAATGTTGTGTGCTGTCTGATCAGCAGTCCAGTACCAAAGGATATCTAATTTGTGATGTAAGATGGAGACAAAGAGAAAAGTTTCACATTAGAGGAGTGGGAACAACCACATTTCTGGCAATTTGTTTAAAAGAAATGATTCAATCGCGTAATCATTTAGTAAAATAGCACTAATTACACACACATAGACACTTTATACACTCAGACGCTTTGTATTTTGTACTTTTTGTTCTTATTTTATTTCAATTTAATTACTCACCTTTCTGTAATTGTGTATATTTGTTTATTGTACTCTGGAAAAAGCTCCTCTTAGCTCCTACTTCTGCTTGTTTCTTACACAACAATCTGTTTTTTAATACATTTTCCCCCAAATTAGCTGCATTTGCGCTGCCGTTATAAATGATCGAGCATCTACAGTAGTTTATGCAACACATCAGCTCTTTACTTTGTTCACTGTATCAGATTCCCGTTGTGTTAAAGTAAACTTAACAACATAATACCTGTCATATACTCCTAAAAACGTATATTTTTTTGTTCTCCTCGGGAGAACTACCCGTCATTGCAGCAACTCCATTTTTATTCTGTACAACCTGTTCTTTACCTGCCTCTCTTGACACATTTTTTGACAGCCCTCTGATGTTGTGACATTTTTCTGGTCTCATTTTTATTCCCCTCGTGATTTCTATTCTCTGGAGACGTGTTGAAATTCTCAGGGAACAAGTGTAATGAGTTACTCTTCAAACAAGTACATGGCTGTTTTGCACCTTTTTTTTTTTTTTACTTCGCTCAATAACCGAAGACTAATTCAAGGTTTGTAAGCACAGTTGGAACAACTTGGGCAATTATTGAGTGATATGAGGTGTAGGTGTTTGTATGTATAGCTGCATGCATAGACACCCTCAGAT